CCGGATAAATCTCTGTGTCGAACGTTCGGCTATCTCAGACACGTTCATTGACGCGGTATCAGGGAAAGTAACAGATCCGCCGTTCGGTTCGCCGACGATGAAATTTACTTTAGCGAGCCCTCCTCCGCGAAAGTCTGAAGGCCCATTCATAAGACCGTCCTAGACGAAGACGCCAGGCGACTTTGAAGAAATACGAGCGATGGCGGTTCATAAATCTTGGCCGCGCAACCGAAGACACCCGACGAAACACGGGCCCGTCCCGGCCCGTCCCGGCCCGTTGTTTGTTTTCTCGCAAATGGCAAAGTATGCGGTTTTAAGGACCGACCCGAAAGCCACGGGGGAATCCCGAGGGCTAATGATCTATCATCTCCTTATTCCGAGCTCCCAAGTGGCTACTTAACGACTTTACGGCTGGCTGCTGACCGGGAACGCCCACGTGGCACAGGTATCCAAGATGTCGAGCGACTGCGAATTGATCAGCCGCACTATTAATAGAGCAAACACTACCTGTGGAAAGATGGTGTCGGTCGGCTAGGAATGCCTCTGAGAAGCCACCGCTAATGCGACTAGTATTTCATCGGAAATCTCGCGTATGTTTCACCAAATCTCTACAATGTGCCCAACATAGGATGCATTTTAGCCGCTGAACAGCAACTTCTTTGTTAGCGAGATACATTTTCAGCTCCACGTCGGTCATTCGACACAACCAAACATTTCTAATGGCCAGGAAAAATGTGTGACTTTTTCTGATCTTTTTAAAATTCTAAACTTCGGTAGAGTTTAATATTACTTTTAATCGTCGTTTAGCATCATTTGTAGGATTTTCATGAATTTTATTCATCGTCCCAAAGTGCGCAAACGTTCTTCATTGACCCGATTCTATAATATAATTAAATTCAGCTGGACACTAGAACTGCTACTTTTGAATGATTCGATCACTTTCGTTCCCAATCACGGTGATTTTTCACAGTGATTCCGGATTTTTTGCGAATGCCTTTGATCGGGCAGAGTAGTCCTAATCTGCATTTGAATTTCACGCGAATCAACTAATGAATTATTATCTTAACACGTTGAACGCCCAGCGCGAATCGATAGAGTTTCTCCCGGCGCCACGAAGCAAAAAAAATTTACAAAAGACTATAACGTATTGTCCTGAGTGTCCAGAGTCACCCCAATTAGTTTACAATATTTTAACGAATTCCATCGTATAACTAATAAAACGTTATAATATTTTAAATACAAATTTAAATATAAGTATAATTTGTTAATATAAAACTGCGTAAACATAGCCGTCAGCCAGATATGGGTGACGTGGCGTTCAACGTGTTAACGAATTATTCCATAAATTATTGCAAAGGACAGTAACTCGAGCATGGATTTGTGAACTCTTTATTATCATTTATGCTGATCTATAAAGAAATCGTACTACATATCATATACAATATTTTATAATTGCAGGAATATCAGTGTTTCAAAATTCCTCCTTTCCACTGATTTAAATAGCGTGTGTGCGATATATGTATGCGCATACATTATACAAAAGAAATTGTTCGCACTTTTGTACACTGTTCAAATGAATATATCTAACGAGTTATTATTGCGAAATCGAGTTGTAGAATTAATTCATCTATCTTTCATTTTATCATTTAAAAGTATTCCCATGCAGATTTCCACACGAACTACATACTGAAGCATTTTAATGAAAAATGATTCATCAAACAAGATTCATGATCAAATGAACTGTGCGATGTGATCACTAGACTACAGATTTTATGCATTTATGACAAAAATAAGTAGATCAAATACAAAGTTGTAACAGAATCGTACGAATTTAAAAATACTGTTACATTCTTTCTAATTTATTACAATTATTAAAATAGGAAAAACATTTCTTACTTTTGTGTCTTAGAATGAACGTAGATAATTTGTATCTTCCATAAAAATCCGCATTGTAGTAATCACGAATGCAATCATCGCGTGGAGTAGATTTAGTCAAAACAAAACAAAAAGTCACGATCACTGTCGCAAATAAACCATGATCGGGATCATGCGATCACAATATGGCAAATCGCTATTACCGACCAATTACGCTATCTCTGCCGAACACCGAGACATATTGCCAGACAAATTTCCTCGCGGGGGGCTATCCGACTTTCTTAAAACTCTGGCTAATTCGCCTGAGCTTCGGTGAGAATCATCCCCTAAATTGTCTCCCACCTGTTGCATCCCAGACCGAACGCCATGGAGGTCTCTATAAAGCAGGGATCTAATCCTTGGCCGTTCTGATCCAGGACCGCGGACCAGCCGATCGGTCACACGAGCCGGCCAGGTGATTCAGAGGATTTCGGTCGGTCGTAAATTGCCGAAACGGGGAAGAATGTTTAACGGACATTATATTTTCTCGGGTCGGTTCATTTGACATCGTCGGATTCCACCCGGCGGGAGGAATGCCGGCGTTTCGAGTCGAAAACGCTGAAACCGTGGGCTGGTGCGCGCGAGACGGAGAACCCGGCGAAGAAAAAGACAGTGACGTAGTACCCACCTTCGTAGGAATCTCGTGTCATCTACCAGGTACTTCTCTCCTACTACCTCTGAATCATCGTCCTTTGTCTTCTCCCCGGATCCTTCGTATCTGTCCGGTCTAGCCGCGAGTCCTTCGACCTCCGTGTTAAATCGCCCAGCCTCTTTCTTATCAATTAAACGAACCCTGGGGATAATGGGCACTTGGTCCGACCACGGGGACTTGGCGCGTCGAGCTCCTAGTGAAATTTATTCGCCTTTTGTTCTTCCAATTTTTCATTTTCTTCTCGATTTTTAGCTTGAACGATGATGTGTTGTGTCCGAGAAAATAATGTCACTGAGAGATCGTCTGCATGTAGAGACGCGTCGAAAAGTATAACGACACCTTCTCGAACGCGATAACTTTTTTAAAACTGCACTAAATGAGTTTTTTCAGATGATGGGACTAGTCTTCTAGATGCTAGGCAATGACTAGAATAAGTTTTGTTCAATTCTGGTGTTGTGTCCGAGAAAATAATGTCAGCGAGAGATTGTCTGCATGTAGAGACGCGTCGAAAAGTATAACGGCACCTTCTGGAACGCGATAACTTTTTTAAAATTGCACTAAATGAGTTTTTTCAGATGATGAGACTAGTCTTCTAGACGCTAGACAATGACCAGAATAATTTTTGTTCAATTCTGGTGTTGTGTCCGAGAAAATAATGTCAGCGAGAGATCGTCTGCATGTAGAGACGCGTCGAAAAGTATAACGACACCTTCTCGAACGCGATAACTTTTTTAAAACTGCACTAAATGAGTTTTTTCAGACGATGGAACTAGTCTTCTAGACGCTAGACAATGACCAGAATAATTTTTGTTCAATTTTGGTGTTACTTGGCATGGCAAAAAAGATACACGATCTGATAATTAGACAATTCAAGGAGGAACATAAATTATGAAATAAAACTGTTATTTGTTAAAACTATTAAGAAACCACGTTTTTTTCAAGCGATGTATCGTTGTTTGGCGCTTTAATGGTTAAGCAACGGTTTAGAGAAAATGATGTTACAGCGAGGAGAGAAAATCAAAAGCTGCAAAAGACTATCCACCTTGATCTCTTTATGCGGCTTGTCTTGAATGGGCGAGGCTTCGCTGCTCTTCTTTTGGATAGATCTAGCGTCCCTCAGAGTGTAATCTACCGTAATCTACGCATAACAATAGCGCATTAAGATGCTGTCAAAGAAATCTAAGAGAATCAGAAGACTATCTCCCTGTCTCGATGTAGAATGTTTCGAGCGAGCGTGGCATCGTCGCTGTCGATTTCCGCAGAGCCGAAACAGCACCGTAAAAAGGAAGTGCATCTCCAGCATGCTGCAGTCCTTAGTTAGTCCTTGTGTTGCAGTTTGTGGATACGTTTACAGCCTAGGAAATTTACGGTCGGCCGTTCGACTGAGTAATTTCGTTAAACTGAAGAAGTGCGAAAAGTACAGTTGTAGTTTATTATACATAAACGCGGCGCTTCTTGTTCGGAAACGCGTGACTAATGCAAAATCGCTTGAGCACAAATACCGAGGACCCCGCTGTACATTCCATGAAATCGAGCATAACTTAGTCGAAGTCGGGGATGATGAATTTTTAAGGGCCCGGGCTGGTTGCTTAAACTTTGACGCGACTCCTGCAACTCATCCTCGACTAATGCGCGAGATTTTACCGAGGTTTCTGTCACGGTCCGGCGAATTACCTTACTCATGGCCTCTAACTACTGCCAGCATCGACCCAGAGCGCTTTTTCAAGTGTCGGACAACGTCTTGACATTTTTTAGCTGATCGAGTCGTTCTTGCAATCTCCGATTATCCACTCAGCTTTGATCGATTAGTTTAACCACGACGAATACACTCGTCGTTGCACGATATGTAACGAGTAAACAGCTAACCCGTTAAGGAGGGTGCATACTTCGATGTTCTTTATTAAATTATATACAGGGTGTACGCGTTGAGTTTTGTCAGCAATTTTTAGGCATTTCCAATTTAAGCGGTCCAATCAAGGACTGCTTCGGACACAATTTTATCAATATTAGCTGGGCTAACTCGACATTTTTACGTAAAAAAAACATTGTTTGAGATTTCAGAATACGCGACTATGTAGCCCACTGATAAAATTGTGTCTAAAACATTTTTTAATTGCACCATCAGAAATGCCTAAAAAATGGATGCGAAACTTAACGCGCGCACTCTGTATGTTATAAAAGTGTCGTATAGTTACGGTAACTGGCTAATAGACAGTGGATGATAAACCGAGACAGATCGCTGTTGGTGAAATTAATTAAATCGTGCGATGGTCTTGCAATAATTGAATATGCCAACAGTGTCTCGATAATTGGATGAAGCCAAGAGAGCCTCGATAATTGAATAAAGCCAAGAGAGTCCCGCAAATGCATCCGAAACTACAGCAAATCCATTAGAAAGCAAAACAATAAAACGATTCCCTGAATCTGTTCGCAGAACGGTGTGCTTCCTGATGTTCGCCGTAATTGTTCGCCGGTGGATGGGGTCGTCACGGCCATAAACCCGATCAGCTGGAAGGAGATTCGAAGCCGGTGAGTCGAGAAGCACCTGCTTATTGCGCTTATTCATTCACCCCTGTCCTACCGCTCTGTTCTCAATGGAACGAGCCGGCATCGAAAATCGCCTCGGTTTTCTCATCGTTTAACCCTTTGATTCATAAATATGTCCCTTTCGAGAATCTGCCGGTAAAAGGAAAATGAAATTACAGCGGTAAGTGGGCTCAATATTATACATTTTCTCGGCAGGATCAAACGAACCTGCGCTCACCGATCGGTGTAGACTTCCCGGATATATTTATTTATTTGTTTTATTTATTGTACGCATGCACGGGTTCTAGACCCTTTAGTGTACCAAAAATATTAAAAATTATACAAAAATGATACAGAACTATGCAGGACCATCACAGGATCGTAAGAGTTGTAAAGCGTTGCATTCAAATTTTTGAAGTCTACAAAAAAAGTTTAGTGATCTACTTATCTTATTTAATGTAATAAAAATTCTATTCAAACAATCGAATTGACCATAGTTAGTTCTATAAAGCTATTTTGTTAACAAAGAAACGATATATTAGGGCAACCCAGGAAGTAGGCTCATTTGGAGTATTTGGATATTGAGTTCTGATTTTGCAAAAATCGCAGATATTCGAACGGCTGTAATTAAATAAAGAAGAATCGTAGAACAGCATACCCATACTCATTTTAAAGCTCGAAGCCTCTACTTTACAGTACTACACGGATTTTACGAATTATTGTAACTTTTAATTCAACATTTTGCTTGCATCCTACATAATTCCGTACGACAAGATTTCTTTCGAACCAAAACTACTTTTACCGTTCTTTTAGAAATGTAAAAATTTCATTGGATAATGATTAATCACTTTCTAGTCACAAGTTCGAGCAGAGACCTTGAGAGTTAAACAAGATTATTTCAACTAGAATTTCTAATCATTTTCATCGAAGACGTCCGGTCCGATGTTCGTCGACTGCGTTCGAGTTTCGATTCGCATGCACCACGATTGTCAGCGACAAACTCTCGTACAAATCCCATGATACAGCGGTCTAGGTTGTCGCGTGCCGTTCGTATGAAAATAGCTGGATTTTACATACGGCACAGGAAACAACTCGGGTCCACGTGAAATCGTGTCGGCCGCACGTGGCACCGGGCCCCGTCCAGGCTCGGTCAAAAGGCGCCGAGCGAAAAATTCGCTCGAGTTACATACCGGCGTGCCGCGGACACGCGCGGACAATTACAGCCGGCGCTGGACACGATTTTACAATAACTCAATTCATTTCCGAGGCTGCGCGCAAGAACGGTCTGTACGGTTCCGCAAAAAACCCGCGGCTCGATATAGTTATTGCCGGACTGCGCGTTCACGTGAACAGGTCAGTCCGGTCGGAGAACGGAGCTCGCTGTGCACCGGACAAAAAGTATTGGTAACAGCGATCGTGGCACTTCTCTTCCAATAAGATCGAACCTCGAAGCTCGTTTCTCAGTTTTATATACGGAAATGCTTTCGGAAATTTATACAGGTATTTTCGATGATAATCGAATTGTTATTACAACCGCTATAATGAACGAATATGCTGCAACGAATGCGTTAAAATATGCGCAACATATTGTGATATATAACTTCTTGTAATCGAATGTGTTCTCTCTTAGGGAACATAATGGGAGTGACGATGATCAAGGTTTTTTCGAGATCGGGCATTTTTGTTCCATGAAATCTGTATCGATACAATTTTATTCCAAATTCTACTCAACTAAAGTAATTATTTGCGGTGTTATGTCACTTTATGACATTGATATATACGTTCAAGTTGCTTATGAGTTCTTATCTTATGTTTCGTATTAGAAATGTCCACGTGTACTATGTCCATGTGTATAAAGAATGAAAGCCGCAATCAATAATGTTTTGAAACCAATTACATGCTTTATTATAAAGTACTCCAATGTTCTTAACACTATGTATGTATCATTGTATTAAAAAAAAAACGATATACAAAGGTGATGATTAATTGGTGTTTACATTAATTGATATTTAACAACGTTACACACCGATGTATAAAAAGAAAATTGTATGAAACAAAGGTTGACCTATTTTGCCAGAAAATTGCTGTATATAAAATGCCTCTTCCAACAAGAGATTACGACAACCTAATGACGAATTTTCTCTAATCACCTATCAAAGACTGGAACGTTTTCATCGTCAAAGTAATACGCGACGCTTTAAAGAGAATGTAAAACGATAAACCGTTGGAAATGATTGTTTAACGCAAGATTTACGGAGCACTAAAAACTGCTGTTTTATATTAGCTTATAAAAACAACAATACGAGATTTATTCTGATTCTTAACGAGCGAATACTGATTTTTACGAGAGAATAAGCAACTCGTAAAAGTATCTTTACAATCCGAACAATCGTAAATTCCGAAATTAGTGAGCCGTCGTTGCGACAGTGTTCCGTGCACACTGTGTTAAATGGATCGTTTCGATAGTACAATGCAACTAGCGGCTTCGTTAATGTCGCCCGATAATAGGAGACATCCGCGAGTGAAAAGGGTTAACACGTCGCTCGGCTGAATACGCTTGGCGCCGAGGTATCTATGAAAGGTAGATAAAGGCAACAAACAAACAGGGGCGAGAACATCGGGAATCGCGAGCGGAGGTACGCTACCAAGACCCGAATGGAGAACGACGAAACAGTGAAAAGAGGGGCGCGGGACCGGGGCCGGGTACAATAATCGGTCCCGCAGTGCATCGGAGTGTTTGCAAAAGCGTCGATATCTAATCGGCGAAATGCTCGTCGAAAAGTAAACCGGAGAACAGGGTGGAGCACCGGTCAGGCATGCACCGTCTCGTTCGGCCGTCTCGGCGTTTTCGTTCGGCGCTGGTTGCCCGCTCGCATGGGAGCGGAGAAGACGGGTTGGTCGTCTGCAGACGGGAGAAAGAGAGATTCCGTTCGCGGGAATACCTGCCAGTGCACGCACTGTTCGTCCGCTGGTTCGTCGGTTCGTTGGTTCGTCGGGTTGGTTCGGTGGACCCGGTTCGCTTCTACGTTTACATACGGGGGACCGTCCTCTCTCGCTGCACAGGCTCGGGTCGTACGCACCTTCCTTCGGCTGCACACACGCGCGAACCCAGACATCGGGCCCCGCGTTCGCGTGCACACACCACCGCCCGTATTGTATAATGCAGCCATTGATAGCCGTCCTCTCTTTCACGCACGCGATCTGTTGCAGTCGCTGCAACCCGTGTCCGGTGACAGCGTCCAGTGTCCAGTCTCCCTCCCGGTGAGTGTCCACAAGATTTATTTTCCCATGCGATATACGGGGTGGCACCGCGAAAACTGGACCCGATCCCTCGACACGGTTCTCCGTTACCTGTCCGCGAACGCGAACGCGAACGTGAACGCGGGTAAAAGATACACCGAACGACGACCCCAGGAGGGTGGCCGCTAGGGACCAGTCTCCTCTCGCCGACGACCCGTGAATAGACCTTAGAATCGGGCCCGATTTATGCCCCGCCGACCCTCATGGTTCTGCCGTTTCCGGTGTACGTGTGCCCCTGTGTACCTGTGTGCCCCACGTGAGAGACACCGCAGTGCTACGGGAGTGACGAACTTGCGCTATACCTGCGAATTATGGGCCTCATGGATCTCATTAGGTATGTAAACTCGGCTTTCGCTTCGTCTATCCGCGATCTTGCTTCTTCGTTGCTATTGTTTCTACTACGATTTCTGCAAAGGGAATCTTCCTATCGGTTGATTTGTATTGCGACGAAGTAGTCAATACGGTTAAATTATCTGAGTCGTTATCTTTTCCCGATCGAAGTGTTGGGAACGTGGGAAACAGATACGGCGATGACAATTTTCTCACAGTTTTGTAATGTACGAAACCATCGCGGAGCTTGTCTAGGTTATGTCAAGATTAGCAATAGGAAAAATCATTCAAATGAGCCGATAATACTACTGTATTACTGTCAACCGATTAAAATGATTAAAAATGAAATAAATGTATACGTAGCTCCTCCATCGCGTAATTAACAGAGACAAGTTTCGCTTTGCATAATCATTCGCGATCTAATTATTAGCATCGTTTATAATTTTATTTATATATTTCTATAACGTATTTTTTAACGCGCGGCTTTTACGCGCGTTAGTTTCGTTGTAAATCTTAATGAAACACGTGAGAAGAGCTAAATTAATTGTCGGAAACTAGATAATCGGATAATAAGAAACGAGATTTATACTCTGGGTCCTAATGGACCCAGTATGGAACATAATGGAATCATTATCGAATACGCTAGCATTAATAGTTTATTTGTTATTAGATCTGATCTGCCGTATTAAAAATAATTGTGTAGGATCGACGTGGACGAAGTATAAGCGATGTGCCGTTGAATTTTTGATACTCCGTGATATCGTGGCAGATAATGGCAACGGAGAATTTACACCCCCCAAAAGCCTTGGCCACAGCGGTCTACAGGAACCCAGGCCCTGATAAGTTCGCAACCTTGAATGTGGCCTGATAGCGGACGCATACAAGCGAAAGTTCCAGTGAAAAAATATCTCTTCAGAGAAGCTTTACTTTGTTGCAAATAATATTACTGGAAATATTGACACTTCTTTCTTTCCATTTTCAACGGTGACGCAATCTATCAAACAAGATCGACGCGCGTGTACATTTACAATTTGCCTAGATGGCGTGTCCGGTTTACTTTTATTCGTTTTTTCTTCGAACACTAGAAATAACTAGTTTAATCGCTCGGTCTTCTACAAATCACAGGGGCACGGACATAATATACAGGGTGGGCCGGAATTCGCAGTGCAACCGAGAAAGGGTTGATCCTACGTGAAAAAAATAAGAGAAAGATTTGGTATAACATTGTCTTTTTATCCCGGGCTCCATTTTCGAGAAAATCGACTTTAAAGTTTGTTCAATTTTGCAAAGGATTACGTATTTCTATTTTATTATTTCTATTCTTCTACCGTAGTTGCCTCCATCTAGACAGTATTTACAAACATTAATTGCTG